AAAATCTTGGTAATGCTGGGCATGACTTCACATTATTTTGTACCATTCAGTTTTGTTTATGCATGAAACTGCAATAGAAAAAAAATGATTAATAATATTTGAGGGGCTAGTTTCACCCATTTGGATTAACAGCCTATAACTATAGTTTTAAAATGATAATCTTGATTTTGTTTGTCTCTTTCAAGTGACATGCAAAGTGCGATACACACAGTACAAAACACAGCACTCTCTGCATGAGGGGGGGAAAAAATCTTCAAGCAAAGCCACACCCACACTGTGATTATAAAAGTAAAATGCACAGTGCAGAATGCATTAAGGGAGAAGAAAATTAATACAAGTTACTGTATTTATTTGATTAAGCCCCCATCCTCAAATTAGTGCCCACCCCAATAGGTATCCAGTCAAGTCGCCGATGGTTCAACTCGCCGATGGTTCAACTCGCCGACGTATAAAATCGAGTAGAGACGTTGGTGAGTTAGTCCTCAATCCAGTACGACTTATTAGAAGTTAAACATGTAGAAAAGTAAACAATCAATAGTAAAAAGAAAACATTCTTTTTCTTCCAACAAAGTTTAGAAGGATCTCAATGCGAATAAAGCATGATAAACATCGCCAATTAGTATAGCAGCTTCAGACGCAAACGAGTTATGTATTGTGACAACAACACCGTAAAGACTCACCATGTCAATTGGTCAGATTTTTTTCAGAAAACTTGGCTTTCAAGACAAGAGCTTTGGTAAAAAGCAATTCTTTTTATTTCCGAAAAAGTTTATAAAACAGTCTCAAGGCTAACAAAGCAAGATAAACATTGCCAATTATACCATAACAGTTTCAGAGGCGAACAAGTTGTTGTGGACAACTGCAGTGCCGTAAAGCCTCATCATGAAGATCGGTTAGATTTTTTTTTAGAAAACTTAGCTTTCTAGACAAGATCTTTAGTAAAATGCAATTCTTTTAATGTCCAACAAAGTTTGTAAGGATTTCATGGTGAGTAAAGAAAGGTAATCATCACCAATGACTATAACAGCTTCAGAGGCGAACAAGTGAGTGTGACAACAACACCATAATGACTCGTCATGTCAATCAGTCAGATTTTTTAAAGAAAACTTAGCTTTCTAGTCGAGATCTTTTTTAAAAAAAAACAATTCTTTTCATTTCTAACGAAGTTTTTAAGGATTTCAATGCCAATAAAAGAAGATAAACATTGACAATGACTGTAAAAGCTTCAGACGC